AAAAGGGCTTGTTCCCAATGTCTGATGTTGGAATTCGCCAACGTACAACCTATGTCAGGTAAGCAAGGCACAATGCAGAGTTTATAGCAGAAGAAAGCTGGATGTTAGATTTTAAGAAAACGATTAGACATGCCCACCCCCCCTTCCCAAAGGTCTTGCTCACATCACCCTTCTGTCATTCCGGGCCCTCTCCCGTTTCACATCCTGCCACACGAGGATGTGCTCCATGCGTCTTGTTACTTTGTACTTTGTAAGGATACTACTCCCACAACACTTGCTTCTGATGAGATGTCTCTGGCAGTGAAGGCGTGGCAACGAGTGGGGAGCAGTGCTTGTGCAATGGGCTTCAGAGCACTGCGCGGCACAAGCTTTCTGCCCCAGCCTCCTCTCGTCGCTGGCACAAGACCCCAGCCCTCTCCAGTCTGATGCCCCACCCCACTACGATGACCTGGAGTCCATGACATCTTGCAGAGAAACACGGTCCTTTTATAACAAGGAATCCACCAAATATGATCTTCAGAACTGCTGAGAAGCACTCAGGACTCGGGAATGCAATCCCCAAGGTGCGGAGGTAACACAGCTGATGCTCCAGGAATGATCTTTAATATCTCATAAAAAGGCGTGGAAGAGACATTTTAAAAGGTAACCTTCACGTCACCCATCCTTTTGTCTTGCCACAACCAGCGCATAGCTAATAGAAAGCAGAGAGCCAGTCCAACGCTGTGATGAACAGCAGTGACACCAGACCACTGTTTTACTGTGACCTGCAGTCACACAAGAACTCTGAGGAGTACCAAACATTTGCATGCAGCGTAGGAGGAAAAAAAATACAGAAGGCACATGAGTAAGGAAAAATGAAGCAAGTAGTAGCTTTATAAATAAACTGAGGTTTCATGCATAGATTTGTGTACTTTATCATTACATTTTTAAATACCTACATATACTAAGATTTAGATCATTTTTAAATGCTTATTAAATCACAGGGGGCAAAGTCTGCATGCTCTGTTAAATATTATAAACAAAACAAAACCATGTACCCTGAGCTCTTCTACTTTCCTGCCCTTTCGGTGGTGTTAGTGTTAGTCTTGGGATATTTTAAAATGTGTAATATTTCCCCAAAGTATTTCTGTAGCTGCAGCACTTACATCAGCATTCAAATATTGTAATGTTTGAGCCTCCTCTGTGTTGTGCCGGGTGTTTCTGTTGCCACTGCACCGGCTTCAGATCCTTGGCAGATTATTCTGACGCGGCTGCGGAGAGGGGGGTTGTGTTTACTGGTTGACTGGTCCTGAAAGACAGAATGTCGCTCTGCTGCTCGGCTCTGCCCTGTGGTCTGAACGCCGATGTGAGGATCTGCCCCACACCTGGGCATCGAGCTGCGGGGAGAGTTCGCCTGGCAGCCACTGGGCTCTCATGGCCTGGTGCTGCTGTTCCATCTGCTGCCTGCTTTCCCCAGCAGCCTTTCACTGAAGAGCAAACATTACACAGCAAACAGAAAGAGCTGCTGAGCCACTGCCGGTAATGAGAGAGGGGCGGGAAAGTGTCTGGAAATTATTAAAATGCCATCTGGCAAGACAAATATCTGTTGATACATGATACATGATACATGATACATTTCCATAGATTATCTATTACTCCTCTCTCTCACTCTACTCTTTTTCCATCTATCCATTCATCTAGGGCTGGAACTCTTCTACATCTTCATCTTTCTATCAATCTGTAGCCTGTGTAGCACATACAGTAGATGTACACAGGATATAACACTGTAAAGATCTCCGTTGTACTTTCGCAGTTTCGCCAATCTTATATCGCCGATGAGCATTGCTCTTCTTGATGCTATCATAATGCACTGTTGTATCTCTCTGTATGCCTGAGCCACGATTTCACCGCACTTTAGTACTCCTTAGTCTGCTTTGATCCTGGCGTAACAGGCTCCAGAATGGGGCAGCCATTCCCAACTCTTTGTGAAGGTGTTAAATCAATTACACAGGACAATACACAGCACTAAAACTGAGCCTTACACGGGACAACAGTGCACAAATCACATGGACACTGACTGTGGGAAACTTCTAATGTTTAAGGGCCACACCTTAAACATTATGCGACTGGAAGTTCGTGACTTCTTCGATTCTCCTGGGGCGCTGCTGCAAAGCTCAATGGGATCTTTAATTGCGATGATGCATTTCCATTTACATGTATGCTACTGCTGCTGCCAAGCACGCACCCTTCCCAACCCCATAACCAGAGGCTTGGTAAGCAATGTTACGAGCCAGAACCACGTGGTCTCAGCACTGATCAGTGACTTCATCGGACCTGATAGGAACCAGATGGGCAAACTGGGGCAATGCTGCACAGCCTCTCTATCACTCAGTGTACCATTTACTGGTCACCTGCATGTCTGACAGCCCGAACAGGTACCTGGGAAATCACCACGCCATGCCTTTGTATTATTTCTTTTAATAAAAGCCAGGAAGACAGCCTGCATGTCCAGGTCCTTACCCCGCCACCTCTGCCATTCCGTCACCGAGCGATATCATGTTTCTGTTGCCGTAGCGACCCTGGAATGGCTCAGTTGTATTGCTGGTCCTTCTGGGACAAACAGAGCTTCAGAGGGAAAGAAAGACGCCAGTGTTTCCTTCCAAACATTTTGGACACGAGTGCTGTTTGCTGGTTGCCATAACTGAGCAGAACTCCACAGCTGAACAGCAAACTGTTCCCATTCAGACTGCACAGCTATTATACAAGCCTAATAATCCATCATATTGTAAAGTGGGGAAGAAGAGAGCAAGTTACAGCAAACCTCACAGAGCTCCTAGGCAAATACAGTACAAGTCCAGTGCACTCTCAATGACTGGTACATGGCTCAAAGTCTAGAGGTGACCTCTTGCTGAGACACCAGACCCTTGGCTTTTAACTCCCACTGCACAGCAGTATGATCCATTTCAGGTTTTGTGGAGGAGGCTCCTGCACATACCAGACTCGGGCAGCAGAAAAACAATTAGGCATTTCCTGTTATAACCCTGTGTGTCCATCTAAGCTGATCTGCTTCCATAGCCAACAAATGGTGCTGGATCACATACTGTACATGGGCCTGCAGCACAAAAAAGCACCCCACATTTATGAGGGGAATGGATCCTTTTTTGAAGGGCTTGCATGCACACACATTGCTGACCTGAGACCACCTGAGAGACCATCAGGAGCTACAGCACACGTAGGCCTGTTTTAGGAGCATCAGCAATTTACTGAAAGCCTCTACTAATATTTCTAAAAGCAGCATAGTTTTCGTGAGAATACACCCAACTCATTATTTAGTATGTTAAATACAGAATGATCTGCATCCTCGTAAACTTGTTCACTACATCTCGTGGTCGACTATACATGATCAGTCAATAGAAACTATTGTAGCAGCTAAAACACAACAGTGATCATTACAAGAACCAATGTGTGGTGTTCCTTCTAATTACCAGCATTTACTTCCCTCTTGACATCATAAAGATGAAAGGCCACTTTTTGTAATCCAAACCACTCACCTTTTGGGAAGACAGATCATTCAACTTTTTCATGTCCTGCAGTTTCCCCCAGCTGACTCACCAACCCCTTACAAACCTGGGACTGGCTACACCACAGATCTAGTCTCCATCAGTACAATCACACAATAATTGACAGCACTCTTCCCATAGTATTATTAAAATTACAAAGTCAACCCAATATTAATTGCAGTCAAACGCACAGATTTGAATAGCTTTAACTAAGCTACAACTATTAGTCGTAATGCTAACCAATGAATAAGTGAATAATGAAAACCACATCCAGGTCTGCAGACATGTAGCTGACATGATCCCATGTTTTCATGTTCAAGGTGAATGGGACTGGGCAGAATCCAGTCCAGTCCAGACTCTAATTCTCCCTTTGCATCATGCACAGTGTGTTCCAGTATGTGAAAAGCACAGAAACAGCCCCTTTGAGCCACGCTTTTGTTGACATTTATGTCTCACTTAAACAAGGCAGACACGTCCCACAGATTCAGAGCTTTACATGGGTTTGCATTGGTCTTTCCTGCTTAGCGAGGAACAGTTTGTGGAGACTTGTGGCTCAGGCAGCAGGCAGCAGGTTCAAACACAACCAAGGCACGCGCCCAGCTGACACTTCTGCAGTAACACTTCAGACTGAGCTGCAAATACCCGCCTGCAGGTTCCTCTAAGCCTGGCATTTGAGAGCTGGGCCTCTCCCTTCCTGTGTAGCTCAATGGCTGTCAGAAGAGCGTAATGTAATGACCAGGAAAGAGGTAGGCACAGCCTCGTCACCGCCACCTTCTGGCCAATGCCAGCAAAGGCACTGCACTGCGACCAGGGACACGTCCATCAGCACAGCCGGAGAGAGAGAGCGAGCGCTTCCCAGCGGCCCGCAGGGACTTTCTTCTAGCAACCGGACCCAGATACTGCATGGAAACAGGAGCCGGAACACATGACCTCCTCCACAACAAGACTCCAGCTCAAACACTTTTGTTAATAAGTGACAAATTAAATCGGTTGCACAACCAAGCTGGCACTGCCTGTACAGTCGTGACCATGTCGCGCTGTCTGACAGGAGCCAGAATACACTGAACGACACAGCTGGATGAGATCCTCAGATCAATCGGCTACTGACTACCAATCCGGCCAGATGCGCCAAAAAAGCCCTCCTCTCATTTATAACCATTCTTATCATCTTAACTCCTCCTAACCTCTGCTTGACTTCTGAAGATTTCTCAGAACCGGCTGCTCCATGTTCCTATTAAAAGCTCTCTTTGGCCCTGCAAGCTCAAAGCATCTGGCTGCACTGCACACCACAGCCATCCTGTCGACACGAATTCCGACGCCGTTTTCCCACGGATTTTCCACGGAGTCGGCAGCTGACGAATTCCAGAGACTGCGGAAGCCGCTCTGGAAGCCAGCAACCGAGAAACAAACACAAAACCAACAAATAAACAACAAAAAAATAGAGTCAGAACTAACTCTTACCTTCACTTCGCATTTCTTGTGGGTGGCCGTTTTACACACTGTGGAAAAAGAGATGACGGGAAGCACGTGAGAACAGGCAGGAAGGGCCTTTTCTGAGGGGCTTTGAGTACATTGGGACAGGCTGGGAACGCCGGAGTCGGACGGTAAGCAACACTCTCGCTTTTCAAGAGCGTCGGGAGAAGAAGATGCGTCTGTGCCAGGCGCTGCAAACACACGGGAAGCACACAGAGGCACACGACCCGCAGCTTGAAAACACGAGAAGAGACTCGTGCACAGCAGCATGCGATTTCCTTCATCCACACCAGAGGCAGCAGACACAGCAAGGAATCAAGGTGAGAATCTTGAGAAACGGTTATTAATTTGGCTATAGATTTTATCCAAAGCAACTTCATTTTGCATTCAATAACACAGGTGGGCACTCAATTTGCTCAACTGGAGTGAAGTTCCTCGCTCACGGGAACAACTGCAGTGTCCCACTGAACATGCAACTTTCCATGCAACTCCAGAGTCCCATCCACTGCTCAACACTATTTTGTGCCCTAAACATTTTTATGTAATGAAACTACTACAGTCATACAGACATAAGGGGCATGAAATGAACTCTGGATTTAAGACCTTCTAATCTGTCTTTATACCAATGGGCACTGGAGCAGTTATCTGATTGCTCAACTCCCTAGATGTTGCAAAGGAATGTGCAAACTAAGAGCTCAATGCTGTTTTCTTCTCCTGCGTGGTCCCAGTTTTGTGGTAGGACCATATTTGTACTTGGATCAGGTTATTTCACGCCCCGGGCAAGAGGTGCTGGGCTGAGCCACAGGAACTGCTTGTTTTATTGCATGCCCACTTAAAAGGCTTCTCTGCATCAGGCCCAATGTGTTCACAGGGCTCAACAGGAGAAGATCACAAAGTCGGTCTCACAGATAAAGACTGAGGCAATGGGAGAGAGAGAAAGAGGTTGTGGGACAGTATGTCAGTGGACCAGTGAAAGAGAGACAGAATCAGAGACACAGGGCGGGCAGAGACCATGCCTGGGTGACAGTGAGACAGTCATTGATGGCGTGCATGAGGACGTCAGCGAGACACCAGCACAGCCAGAACGACATGTGTGATAGCGCGGGTGAAATGGTGTGAAGAGGGAGAGAGGAAAGTGAAGAGGCCGGTGCGGACAGTGGACAGTCCAAGCGGAGGGGGGACAGCGGTCAGCTCCTCACCTCGGCAGAAGGAACCCTGGCTCTCCACGGGCTGCCTGCACACGCTGCACTGCCGCTTCTTCTTGAAGGTCTTCTCCTTGAAGGCGTGGGGCTCTCCCTTCCCCGGCTGCCAAGACAACACACAGAGCCTCAATCACCGCGTGCGGGACCGCTCCCACCCCTACCGTGCGAGTACACAAGCACGCGGCCCAGGCCCAGGCCGAGAGCCATGGGGAGAGCCTTCTGTTCCCTCCTTGGCGACTGGCTGCAAGCATTTAATCCGCACCTGCACGGTCACAGAGTAACCCAAGCAAGTTCCACAGCTGGCCAGGGATTGGTATGCGCTCTGAGCTCAAATAATTCGGGGTTATAAAGTATCAGTCCAAGGGGTTCCCCAGCCCCTGAGCCAGTGAGAGGTTGATCATCTATTGCAGCATCCACAATAAGACAAGCCACACCTGCTCTGAAAACACATAGTGTGTTTTCAATACACCAGGGCTGCAGAATTCTAGCACATGTGCAGCAAAGCATCTTGTTTTAATAATTTTTTATTATAATAATAATAATAATAATAATAATAATAATTGCTTACACTAATATAGCGCTTTTCTGGACACTCCACTCAAAGCGCTTTACAGGTAATGGAGACTCCCCTCCACCACCACCAATGTGCAGCATCCACCTGGATGATGCGACGGCAGCCATAGTGCGCCAGAACGCTCACCACACATCAGCTATCAGTGGGGAGGACAGCAGAGTAATGTAGCCAATTCATAGAGGGGGATTATTAGGAGGCCATGATTGGTAAGGGCCAATTGGAAATTTGGCCAGGACACCGGGGTTACACCCCTACTCTTTTCGAGAAGCGCCCTGGGATTTTTAATGACCACAGAGAGTCAGGACCTCGGTTTTACATCTCATCCGAAGGATGGCGCCTGTTTACAGTATAGTGTCCCCGTCACTATACTGGGGCATTAGGACCCACATGGACCGCAGGGTGAGCGCCCCCTGCTGGCCCCACTAACACCTCTTCCAGCAGCAACCTTAGTTTTTCCCAGGAGGTCTCCCATCCAGGTATTGACCAGGCTCACACCTGCTTAGCTTCAGTGGGTTGCCAGTTGTGAGTTGCAGGGTGATATTTGCTCTCCTCAAGCAAAACCAAAGGGAAGCAGACCTCAGATTTATGTGTGTAAGTACACTTTTACTGTACGTTGTATCATGCATGCATACCTTCACATCTGAACACAGGAACGCACACACAATGACTGACAATGGAAACTTTTCTAGAGGGAACGATCCTGAGCCTCAAGGCTCTGCAAAGCCATGAGGTGCTCCAGAGAGGGTGAGCTTGGATCAAATCCTGAAAGCCTCAGAGATCTCCCAAGACCAAGACTGTCACCTCAGCATACACAGTCTGCACAAATCCCTTGCACAGAAAAAGTTTTGGGCACAGATGCTCCAAGGCTGGAAAACTCTAATTAGACAGTGTGCCTCTGTGCACTGGCCACCTCAGTGCAGGCTCATGACCCCAGACAAACACACGTACCGTAGATGCTACCTTAGTGTCCTCCTAAATCAACCAGGGGAGAGATCAACAACACCAAAAGTTGAAGTGCCAAACAACACTCCTGATTTCCTACCAGTGTCCAGCAAGAAGTCGGTAATTGGTTGTAGACATGAGTTTTTGCTCTCAGCATCTTAAAATAGTTTCCCTGCTAGAAGATCTCAGCTGCCACTTGTCAGGATGAAGGTGTGTTGGCTATAATGAGACTGCCACTGACAAGCAAGACTCAACAAACTATATGTCACATTTAATTAGGTGCAAAACCCACCTTCAGGCACCTGTTTTTGACTTCCATCTACTCATCTGTTGTGCACATGTGCCTGAAGCTTCATTGTGAAATGAGGACAGCCAGTCATGTGCACAGCACACACAAAACACGAGGAGCCCGATTACTGCGGACACCAAGGGCACAAGCTGGGAAACTGCACTGCAGGCTTCCCAGGAGTTAAGAGGTGCAAAGGCGTGCCAAGTCGAGTTACACAGCAACACAGCGAATCAAAGTCTTTTTGCCTGGGTTCCTCCAGCATGGACAGGACTGCAGGAGGCTTTGGTTGATCCCGTTAGCTCAAATTCCAGCGATGAAGATAAGGATGACGACGAGGGCGTTGCTTACTTTCTATCTACCCGCGAGGCTCATGCCTTGAACCAAGGTGGCCTTCTGGACACACAGATGCCGCGGGAGATAGAACAGTCTCTTATGGACTGACTGGAATTCTAGCCACAGAGTCCTACAGGAAATCGGATGACTAAGCCATGCCTGTTAAATGACCCCCTTCCTGTGCCCCCTCCCCCCGTCACCTCATGCCAAGACCGGTAAGTGGGTGACATAATGCCAGCGTGAGGCCATCTGGTGTGCGTCACAACCCCCACCTCCCTCCAAAAAACCAGACACAGTTTGTTTATACTGCCATGAACCCACGCTGCCTCTCTTTCAGTGTCATGACCACAAGCCATTTCACAGTGCTTCCCAGCAGATGTGCAGTGGAGACTGACAGTACTGTATGGCAGGATAGGGGTCCTCAGTGCAAGTCCTGGGGGGCTGTCCCTGCAGAAGCCTGAAAACATTTGTACCTGTGTGTATAACATCCCACGGTATCACCTTAGATTACTTATTTTTTTCCATGCTGTAATTATTTTGTAATTATATGTGATATTATGATATTATTTTGAGGCGGTCTTGTCAATTGCAGCTGCTATAACTGGCTCGTCGGCTTCAAGTGTCCCTGGCCAGGGGGCTCGTCAGGTTCTGGCGCTCCAGGCCGGGGGGCTCTGACTGTAGGGATGCCACATCATGCTGGATCAATAACGTGATCTGTTCAAGAGTCAAAAAGGGTTTTTCTTCTCGTTTTGAAGTATCCTTCGGTCATCCACTACAATGGTCTTCCGTGGTCTACCAGGTCGTTTGCTATTGCTAAGCTCACCAGTGCGTTCTTGCTTCTTAACAATGTACCAAACAGTTGATTTTGACACACCTTATGTTTCTGATTGATTTATTCTGATTTTCCAGCCTCACGACGGCCCGCTTCACTGGCCTTGCCACTTCTGTGGTCCTCATGTGGAGAGACAACAGCAACAGATTCCAGATGCAAAAGCCACACAAAAAAATAAACTCTAGACCTTTTGTTAGCTCTCTTGTGCATGAACTAAAGATGCAACAACACACAGCTGGCCAAGAAATAACTGAACAGCCAATTGTCCAATTACTTTTGGTCCATTGAAATGGGGGACTATGTATAAAAAGGGCTGTGATTCCTATATGGTTCACCCAATATAGACATAAATACCCTTTAATTAAAGCTGACATTCTGCACTGTAACCTCAAAGTAATTTTTTCATTTCAAATCCAATGTGCTGGAGTACAGAGCCAAAACAACACAAATTGTGTCACTGTCCAAATACATAGAGACTGCACTGTATATACAAATACAGGACTAGCATTCTTGCGTGTGCTTTAGTTCAAGACTATCTTATTTAGCCCGCAGTGTTGCACAAGGAAGCCACAGTTCTGCAGCTGTAAAATTGGAAGCATTGCTCATGCTGTCGACACCAGACAGCCATGCCCTACGGTATAAACCCGCCTTCTGCGTGAGCATCTGCATCAGGCCCCAGGAAGATCACTACGTTACCGCGCTGCCCACGTCATCTCTGGGCCAGCAGCGCCCACCTTGACAAGACAGGACTCCGCCCCATGGCTGTCGACGGACAACTCGCACACTTTAACGCCACAGCTGGGGTGAGGAACCGTGCTCTGCAAACACCTGAGCAGATTCCCCACCATCAGTACTGTCCACCTCAGAGCTGCTCAGTCAGTGTAGGAGAAACACAGTAAGCCCTCATCCCCATCTGTACCCCTCCTAATTCCACGGCTGCAAGCCCCTGTCATTATCCAGACTTATCCAGAGGCACGCTGCAAGCCACGCGGCCTACATTTCCCTTCTGCAGGTGAAAAACAGCGCCAGTCTCCTTCTGCATTTCACACTCTGCTACAATGCAGAACGGAGACTGGCGAGACTCCCTGTGCCAGCACTGCCCTCCCTCTCCTACAGGCCAAGCTGTCATCACACACACACACACGTCACTTCGGGAGACAGACGCCGAAGCACACATTCAAGGGCACTTTCATTTTTTTAATCCAAATGCAAAGTATTTCAATGCCAAATAAATTTGTTCCCATAGCTACATTTGAGGTTTTTTTTTGGGGGGGTTTTCTAGAGGGAACAATCCTGAGCCTCAAGGCTCTGCAAAGCTATGAGGTGCTCCAGAGAGGGTGAGCTTGGATCAAATCCTGAAAGCCTCAGAGATCTCCCAAGACCAAGAAGGTTTTTTCCTTCAGAAACAAGACCTTAAATAAAAAATAACCCAGGCTAAATTTAAAACATCCCGCCAACATGTATGAAAAACACTCAACAATTCAATTTCAGCTTTTCTTAAACAGTTTTAACGCCATAAACATTATGCACAAAGGTTTTATACTTCTATATGATGCAGAATATGTACGTTTAACGGAGGCAAAGCTTTGCCTTCCACCACAATGGCTATAAAAAAGCCAACCACTGTGATTCCCCTGCAAGTTGTACAAATCCCAGCTTCTTGTCTCAGCGTGAACTGAAATGAAATGCAGAGAAAGAAAACACACGCTGCACAGACTCGCTGGGTAAAACCAGAGAACTCCAGGGCTCGTGCCCCACACTATTTCCTGCCTTTCCGATTCGAAAACCCCTTCTTGCAAACCCTCAGCGACCTCATCGATCTGTATTTTTCCTGACACTGCTGCGCGCAGAGTGTCAAGCATCAGGAAAGTGTGATCAAAACAAAACTGAGCGAGACGCAGCATGGATCTTTGGCATTTCATCATCCGTGAATCTGACCTCCAAGACAATGATTAACAGGCGCTTGATTAACAATCCGAACTCTGCATTCCATCGTCACGGTATTGTTTACAGTTTAAAAGTGAGTGTAGTCACATACCAGACCATTGAATCAATTCCCCTTAGGAACTTGCCTTCGTAATTGTGTTTTTAGTAGACAATTAATTGAATTCAAGGATCTGGCAGCATTAAGGT